CATGAGTAACTGACCAGCAGTCTGGAAAAGTATTTTCTTGTGGTCATCCACCACCTCTGGCTTTTACAGTCTTTATGCCCTCTCTTCTACAATGATGCCTGATCTTTGGGAGGCAGACATTTGATACAGGTTTCCTATCCAAGGATAAGCACTCTGCAGCCTCTTCTTTGTATATTGGCCAGTTGTGGGTTTCTATGTTAATCACTGTCTGCTGCCTAAGGAAATGTCTCTGGTGAGAATTGAGAGATACATTAATTTATGTGTATAGCAAAAATCATTAGGAGTTAGTTTAATGCTATACCTGTTCTGTAGAAAACTAATATTAGGCTCTCCCTGATGCCCTGTGACCTGTCTAGACTTGGATTCTTAGGCCTGATATCAGTGTCAGGTATGGACTCAATCTTCGACATGGACCTTAAGTCCAGTTAGAGAGTGGTTGGTCACTCCTGTAATATTTGTGACATTATTGCACCAGTGGGCATATTTTTCCAGACCAGTTGTAGTTCACAGGATTCACAGCTAGATAAGGTAGATGATTATTTTTACCTTCTAGTAACACGCATAGCAGCTTCCAGCATTGTGAAAGCTAGACAGGAGAGATGAGGCTCTGAAATCAGTACCAACTTGATTTCTCCTTGTTTGTTCTACAGCTCATGTTTGTAGTGATTTCAGCAATAGGAGCTTACTATCAAGCTCTGGTAAGTAACCAGGAGCAGTGACAATGGCCAATATTGTTTGAGGGTCTGTGGAACTGAGCCCATTTCTGGCATTGAGGTTTTATTGTGTTAGCCTATGATGTCTAGATGGAGTTACAAAGAACTCCTTTCAGTCTCTTTTTGTAATGTATGTGAATACTTTAAGAAGCTTCTATAGTGGTAGGTTTCCATATCAGTTTTCTAAAACCCTTTAGTGTTACTTATCCCTCCTTGTAATCCTTCCTCTGCCCTAGCCTTCCACTCCCCATTCCATTTAACCCTGCCTACTCTAATGTTCTCCTTTTCCTCTTCATATCACTGCGTTCTACCACCCCTCCTAAGAAGGCTCCCCTCACCACCTATGGCCATTTTTTAGTTTGTTGATCTCTGTGGCTTTTCAAATTGAAACATGCGTATCTAAGATTTCAAAGCTAGCATCCAGTTATGAGAGAGAACATGCAACATTTGTCTTTCTAGATATGAGTTACCTCACTTAGTATAATTGTTTTCAGTTCCATCTATTTACCTGCAGTTTTCATAATATAATTTTTTAAGAGTTGAATAATATTCTGTTGTGTTTATGTACCACATTTTCATTATCCATCAATTGATGGACATCTGAGTTGTTTCTAATTTCTGGCTGTTCTGAAAAGGGCAGCCAGGAACTTGGATGAACAGGTATTTTTGTAACAGGCCATAGAGTCTTTTAGAGTGGTATGGCTGGATTATATGGTAGGTCAATTTCAAGCTTTTTGAGAAATCTCCACAATTATTTCCATAGTTGCTGCACCAGTTTGAACTTCCACCAGCATGAGTGCCCTTTTCTCTGTATCCTTACCAGCATTTGTCATTTGTTTTTTTTTTTTTT